GTGAAAAATACATCAAGTTTGTGTTTGACAAATCCGGCGAGTACGAACTAAAACACTTTTCATTATTCTTATTTGTCACATTGAGATTGAGACTTTTTTGTTAATGCGTTCCATTCATTTTCTACAAGGCTGGAGCTGTAACAGGTGATTTGTTTTCAATCGCTTATCAACACCACTGCATTACAATAAAACCCACAACGACCCAAAAATTGATTCTGAGACTTAGTGCATTCTGAGGGAACAGAGGTTATCTTACAATATATCATTGCTGGCGGGATCATTATACCTCAGTGGGACCATTGCTTCATCATTGTAAAACCAATATCGATCTGGTAGTCAAAGTGTACATTGCTGTATCAAATACGTTAAGATTATTTTGTTAAGATTATTTCTAAATGTCCAACCTTTGGCCGTTGTTTATTGGCTTTCCCGGCCATTGTCAATATACCAAGATCGGCAGACGTGTGTCTGGTACCGCCACTCTGGTAATCTGACAAATTGATGGCCGGAAGACAGTTTCAATCCTCCAATGCATGCTCCATGCGTATATGTCTCTATACAAAGCAATTAAAGCAATTTTGAACAGTTAATTAATATCTCTGTGACAATTTGATGGTGCGCCGTACGATCGCCTTGGGACCTATATAGCCAATTACCATGGAACATTCAAATGTTACATACGCTCACCAGGCTTTCGTAACTGTGAAATCGGGAAATACGTATTTAGATCTTCTTTGGGACTATTTCCTCGCCCTTTTTATACCACAAATTGATGTTTAAGTCGAAGTTTACATTTATTTATCCAAAGATTTCCAATCACAGAATATTTTGTATAGTCAGTTATTCGGCCTAATATTTATACTCCGGTAGTGTTTGTAATGGAACAGATACATCTGATTACCTCGGTATAGTACAGAAATGATCCATAATTGCGTTAGTCTAATTAGCCATGATATTTCCTACGGCGTCGAGACGTATTACCGGTACAGAGACGATCTGTGTGGTGAGGAGTGTTTCTTCGAGTGTTCCTTTCATGACGAACTATTGAGAAACTATCTGTACTTCCGGTAACCCAGGACCCAAAGAATATTGGCGGATGTACTATACCTACCTATATAAATTCTTTTTACTTTATTGTTTGTCGTGTACACAACCACAACATTTCGTGCGTAACATTTGGAACATTGATCAATTAACAACAAAGACTGCCTTAACATACAAAATATTGGTAGAAAGAATCCGCATGTTACACGTGCAAACACATTAGAGCAGTGACGTCATAAACGCACAACTTACTTCTGCACCAGAAGTCGAACACATACGGAGCAGCACACGCGTTTGTTAGGGAAAGCGTTGACGCCAGGCTTATCCTTGTAATGTTCTTAGTAACAACTTTGTTTTTGAGGATTGTGTTGAAGCATATAAATATAAAAAGTAAATGTATTTTACAAAAATTATGAAACAAGTTATTTCAACTTATATAAATCACTCTTGTTGGCCCGGATGGTAGCGATCGGGGGGTCTTTGCGTAGGAGGAAACCGGATTACCCGGTAAAAACCCATGTAGTCGGGCAGATGACCCCATACCTTTTCACGTCCGTTGAATCATATCAATTTTCTTTGGTTTCGCCAATTTTCCTTTAGTCTTTGCGTATCAGCGTTGATTTGTCGTTTCGTTCCATGATATTTTGATAAGCACGTGTGTTAGTTCTTGATACAATATCTGAGTCTTAATGAACCATCAGCACATTTTGTCATACAGAATACGACATTACAATCGGTTTCTGACTAATGATAAGGTAGACACACGTATAGACAAAACTTTCACGAAGAAGAAGGGAAACGATTTTCATCTCCACCTTAGTTATTCATTTATAAAAAAGCAATATAGAGCAATAGACCCATTCTTTTTACGAAGGTAATGACCGTATCAGCGGGGGTAAATACGATAACAGCTATATGTCCCATTACCTTTAGAAATGAAAAGCAAACAAAACAGATATCAAGAAACATCTAACAGAAGAAGTCGATAATTCCACACATAAAGTTTTAAAGCATCAGTTTCGGAAAAGCCACCACATAAACAGCGCAGCCCTACCATTAGTGAATATCATGTTCTACAAATAACGAACCAAGCCCTTATTGGAAACATACACGGTGGATTCCTTGTTACTTCTAAAACCGGTCACAAGAGACATTGTTATCCATTATTTTCACCCAAAATCTTTTTAATAATAGTTTATACTTCCTTATGTGTATATTTGAAAATGTTTATTTCACTAGTCACAAGGTATCCTGGAAAACTACTTGTCCATTAATATATTCTACACTATGTTAAGGATGCCTGTCCCGCTACGGGCAAAACATTAGCGAGTCCCACACCAGCTTTCCATATACACAGTAATCTTGGTTTGGTTTGGTTTAATTTTGTTTAACGTACTATTAACAGCTTAGGTCATCTAAGGACGTGCCTCCATGTGTGAAGTGTATGCATGCTTGCGCGTGTGTATGCAGGAGACAGGGTATGCTGTTGTGCTTGCCTCCTTGTGATAGTGCAGATCTGATGCCGACTTTATTGTGCTATCTCACTGAAATACCATGCCGAAGGCACCAAGCACAGCATTTCGCCCGGTCACATTATACTGACAACGGATGAAACACAGCAATCTCAGCTTAAGTTTGTTTTGGATATAACTGTATCTGGATTGAGGAAGAGCATTGCATTTGATTGGGTAGCTCGTTTGGCTAGGTTGACAGTATTGTGTTCTGAGATCTTAGGTCCAAACACCTGGCCGTGTCCAGCCTCAGTTTTACTCTCAAAACGCTGCTGTTGTTGATATCATGTTTTGCTTATTTCATCTTTTGTATTTTGTCAAAAAAAAAATGCAAGGTCTGAGTTTCTTTCGTTTTAGAAATGATTTCCTGGACTTATTGTCATACTGTCAAAGCGTTTTCAATTCATATTAATAGTTTTGTGGATGCTGTATTGTATTTGGGCAACTCCGTCTGAACACAGAACAAAATGGGAGCTTAGCGCAAGACACCTACAAACAAATTGCATGAATTATAGAAAAAGGGTACATTTGTATACACAGACCCAAATATTACCATGACCCAACTTATGTTCCCGTATACTTAACATAGACGCTTGCTATTTTAAACTCGACTTAGGTCGTACTCAAACTAATCGAGATAATGCGACCAGGTGCTCTGAGATGTTTTCACTACGACACTTGACAACCATCAGGCTACAAAATGTATTGCTTATCAATTCCTGAATAATGTTTCAGCCTGTAACTAACTGATAAATGGCAAAGGGAATGTTAACCTATATGATAAACAAATGTTCGTTTTATCAAAGTTTATATCACCAGGTGCTTAAAATAAACATACCAAATATATGGATGTCGTATATCTTTTGATTGATAGTTTGGTCATGATGATATTAAAAAAGATATCATTTTATTACCGGGAAAATTCAATATCAGAGAAAATCGGAACTTTTCATAAAGTCCAAAAGTAAAATCAAATTCAAACTGCGTCTGTATAAACATAAAAAGTTATTTTTTCTGGTACATTTAATAACCAATTAAGATGTTTTTTCAACGCGTCTAAATATCTAACAGGATTGCCGCTATAAAAAGAAAATTCAGAGGAATACAATGGACACCGCATATAAATGACGGCCACGTTAATGTCCCGTTAGCAGACAGCACAGAAGAACAATACCTATTATCAAGTTAAGCTACATACGTACATTGTAGCCTCTTAAGATCATACAGAGTGATACAGCAGACCAACTATGTTACCACGGGTCAGTGATAACCATTCTGCAATCATTGATATGCCACGCTATGTAAAGACGTTCTCTAACAAAAGAGTTTGGATAACATATCTTTATATTACTCAAGTAAGTTAATTTTGAAGTAATATACACGAAATTTACTCCAGTATGTTCGACAATTTAAAAAATGAACGGAAGTTATATAGACAAACATGATACCAATCAACACTAGTAAATAGATCTGTATCTCTGCCTGAGCCAAGTTGTCACTGTTTAACTACCATTTTTTACAATCTGTTTGGTCAGTATACAAGCTTAAACTTTATTTAGCATGTAATTTTACTCTGTTTAAACATTGCTGTATGGGAAAGTTTCAGCTCAGCTAATGGTTGTGTTTTGAAGATACACAAAACAAAATTTTAGCAAATCACTTATAAGCTAATAATCTGTTGAACAACAGGGCCAAGACCCTTGGTGTTATGTGAGAAAAGCGTATTTTTATATTTTGGCATCTTCGGAACGAAAGGAAATCTCTGCGCATCACGACATCAAATGTCACAACCTCAAATCATGATGTCATATATTTTACTAATTTGAAGTATGACGTCACAAAGTCGTTTGACGTCATTAACTTATAAAAACGCTTCCAGACTTAATTGCAGATGTAGTTCAAAACGAGCATCTTCATTACTCCCACTGCTGGTAGTTACACTGGTTGCGAGTAATTAACACATACAAAGTATGTTTAAAATATATTCGTGGGTTAATTAGATAACAAAAATGGTCAGGAGTAGTTAACAAATACACGTTATGAAAGAAATGCATTGGTTGGTTAATTAGATTCTTTTTTAAAGTTACAAAAAAATAACAAGTTACGGAATTAAAAACATGCACATAAACTGACATTATTGGAAGTTCAAATAGTATTTGTAATATCAATTAAATACAATTTGTTCAATTAGGAGTGATCGAAGACATTCACGAAGGTTAGGTGCCTGCACTTTAAACAATAATTGTAATTGCACCAGACCAGTACAGAGCAATAAAGCTGAGATTGAATTGGGATGGTAATGGCTCATGTACACATTGCCAAGACAGTAACGTTGACGAATACCACCATGTAGCCTTATCCTTTAACGACTGAGCTGATGTACCTTTAGCTATATAAAGCTTGTCCATTAATTACGCTGATACGACAGAGAAATGACCACCATACCTGATATCCCGTCGTAAGTCCACCAGTCAGCCCAAGGCGATGGATCTACAATCAGAAAAAGACGGTAATGCTAGAAATGATTTTACCATTTTCCAAATTACTTTTATCTACAATGTGAAATCAATGGAGGTAACTGCCATAGTAATGACCTCGTGTCCAGTCCCCATAGGTAGTTTTTCATTAAAAGTGTGTGCTGTAATCTTATCATTTATTCAGGTTTGAATGATTGCAATTTCTAGTAAGCAGACGACATCAAGGAAAAGATATTTGACAACGGAAGACAGTGTAATCAATACGGGGAATGTGTTACGCTATGGCGCTTCTAACATTAACGCGAGCGGGAGCACGTGCGGCTCTTTAAATAGAGAGAACGACCCAAGGGACAATCATGTCAGTTTTATATGCAAATAATCATGGAAGTGAAAATAAACTGCCATTTTATAGGCGTGAAACGTATATAAACACTTCGCTTATCCTAGACAGGAATAGAATGGAAAGCAGCTTAATTCGTTCGGATCGTCTGCGATTTGAAATTTGTCTTGCTCAGTCCGATTGCGATTATGTCGGCTTCCCGGACCTCACATGCTTTCGCGCCGTGTTCATCCATCAATGCGTTTGTCTGCGTCTGCTATTCGCGGCCTGAGATGTCCGCTATCTGTATTTGTCACCTCTATTAATATGCTTGGCCAGGTCGTGATGGTCGTTTCGGAAATATCTTCTTGGGATGCTAATACTTAATATTCTCTTTGTTTCATATGATCAATATCTCTGGGTAGGGAGGGGAGGGGGTGGACACCAGAGCGCCAATAACATATCACGTCAAAATAGAAACACTAAGTCAATTTATTAGCAGAAAATAGAAAGACATCTAAATGAAAAAGGAAGTCATCTGAAACCCCCACAATACCAGAAGAAAAACCTGGATGAAATGAAATGATTTATTTTGGATATTTCCTCTCCCAAGTTTTCTTTTTGTGTTGACGTTGAGTTTATCTTTTTTACCTTATGGTATATATTTTTTATTTACTTAAGGCCCTTTTAGTTGTAACTGTAATATTCTTAATTTTGCAAAACATGATGAAGAAACAATCAATTAAAAGATGAAGCAAATCTATATTTAGAGAAAGTCATAGGCAATTCACATAACACTATCGTTGCTCGGTTCACGGATTCCTTTCCCTGCGATGCATGTCTCTGGTAGGACAACCGTGAAGTTAAATTCCCAAAAATAAGTATTTTACAGTATTCCTAATCAATTTCTTAATAACGCTACCATTTCTATAGGGCGGTGTTCAGCAGAACTCACTACTAGTTTATTTGTTCCGTATTGTTGCAATAACCTGTCTATTGATCACACATGGAAGGGTCTATAAGATATTCTCACATTTGATTGCAGGTTAAGATCATACTATGAAAGTTTAATCTTTGAGTTACGACTCTGATCGTCCTGGCACATACGACAGAGTTTAATACCTGGAAGAAAGGATAGGCATTTTACAACTTATACTACTGCTAGTGTCAAGCCTGTTTGATTCCTCTGTACCATCAATTCTGAGGCTATTATTACCGATTATACTGTAACATGTATACACGGGATTAACAATTCCTTACGATATACTTTTCACTGCCAAGACGGCGCCACTCGTTTAACAAACACTATAATTTAATGTCAAATACTTCGAGGATGCGAAATAAAATATATTTCTATACATACATTTATACAGTACAGTGCAATTACGACAAGTATTTCGTCCTTCGGATCAACTGAAGTCGATATATTTAGTGTATTAATTCGATACGTAGCATATATATAGAAGCATTATTTATGAAGGAAGATATTATTTTTATCTTGCTCTGGGCGGACATTGAATTCGTGATCCACGGCACAAAGACTTCTAACCGATACATGTAAAAAGAACAATTCTAACCACTATCACCGTGTAGGTGTGTGTGGGGGTGAGGCCATGGGTTAATGGGAGGGGGTGAGGCCAATTGTTGATGGGTGGGGGTGAGGCCATGGGTTAATGGGAGGGAGTGAGGCCATGTGTTGATNGTTGATGGGTGGGGATGAGGCCAGGGGTTGATGGGAGGGGGTGAGACCATGGGTTGATGGGTGGGGTTGAGGCCATGGGTTGATGGGTGGGGGTGAGGCCATGGGTTGATGGGTGAGGATGAGGTCATGGGTTGATGGGTGGGGGATGAGGCCATGGGTTGATGAGTGGGGGTGAGGTCATGGGTTGATTGGTGGGGATGAGGCCAGGGGTTGATGGGTGGGGGATGAGGCCATGGGTTGATGAGTGGGGATGAGACCATGGGTTGCTGGGTTGGGGATGAGGCCATGGGTTGATGGGTGGGGATGAGGCCATGGGTTGATGTGTGGGGGTGAGGCCATGGGTTGATGGGTGGGGGTGAGGCCAGGGGTTGATGGATGGGGATGAGGCCATGGGTTGCTGAGTGGGGGTGAGGTCATGGGTTGATGGGTGGGGATGAGGCCAGGGGTTGATGGGTGGGGATGATACCATGGGTTGATGGGTGGGGGATGAGGCCATGGGTTGATGGGTGGGGGTGAGGTCATGGGTTGATAGGTGGGGATGAGGCCAGGGGTTGATGGGTGGGGGATAAGGCCATGGGTTGATGGGTGGGGATGAGGCCATGGGTTAATGGGTGGGGATGAGACCATTGGTTGATGAGTGGGGTGAGGCCAGGGGTTGA